GAACTTCTGCCGCCGCTGGCTGGAGGGAGAGCGCCAGACGCTGTGGGCGGAGACAACAGAGCGGCGCCAGACAGGGGGAACGGACAAGGTGACTCACCGAGCACAGCGCTGCCTCGACTTGGCTTCGGAGGGGCTTTACTCGAAAAGCTGCGCTTCGCTGACGTCGGAGCCGCCCGTGTCCGTCACGCCGGCTGTCGTGGACCAGATGGGCCGCAAACGCCCCCGCAGCCAGCAGCCGGTTGTGGACCTGGCTAGCCTGCCTGCAGTCCACGCGGCCGCCGCAGCCCAGGTCGACGTCTCTGTCGTCCAAAAGGAAGTGCGGGCCTTCCCCAAGGGCTCGGCCGCCGGCCCCACTGGCCTGCGCCCGCAACGCCTGCAGGGCGCCCTGGCGACGGCAGCCCACAGGGAAGAGGTCGTCGAGCAGCTCGCTGGCCTCGTCAACGTGCTCGCGCGCGGCCAGGCTCCGGCGGCGGTCGCGGCTTACTTTGCTGGCGCCTCGCTGGTGGCTCTCCCGAAGAACGACGGCGGCCTCCGCCCGGTGGCCGTCGGCGAGACACATCGCCGCCTGGTGGGCAAGTGCCTCTGCAAGGTCGCCGCGGCTGCCCGCGACCGCCTGGCGCCCTTGCAAGTGGGCGTGGCCGCCCCGGGAGGCGCCGAGGCGGCGATCCACGTGGCCAGGCAGTGGTTCACGCGCAACCTGGGCGACAGGGACAAAGTTTTCGTGAAGTTGGACCTCTCGAGCGCTTTCAACACCCTGGACCGGAGGGCCGTCCTCAGAGCAGTGCACGAGGACTTTCCCGCGCTGGCACCTGGGGCGGACTGGTGCTACGGGAGCCCCTCGCTACTATTCCTCGGCAAGCAGACGCTGCGCTCCGAATGCGGTGTCCAGCAGGGCGACCCGCTTGGTCCGCTGCTCTTCTCCCTGGCACTCCAACGCTGCGCGGAGACGGCGAGCCGCAGCCTCAGGGAGCTTGCCCAGGACGCCGGCCTGGGCCTCGTCTTTTCCTACCTGGGCGACGGCTGCGTGGCGGGTGACAGACAGGCTGTGGCGTGTTTTCTGCGCCGCGTCGTGGCTGAGCTCGCAGCAGTCGGCCTCGACCTCAGCACGGGGCCGGGCAAGTGCGAGGTGGTCCCTGCAGCGGGGGCGGACAGCAACACGTCCGCGGCGGATTTCCCACCGGGCTACCGAATGCGCCCCGACGGCTGCTTTGAGCTCCTCGGCGCGCCCATCGGGAGCGACGACTTCTGCCTCCAGCACGCGCAGAAACGAGTGAAGAAGGCAGCGGAGCTCCGCGCACTGGCCGGCTTGGAGGACGCGCAGGTAGCCCTTCACCTTCTCCGGCAGTGTGCCTGCTACTGCAAGCTCGGCTACTCGGCGCGCGTGGTGCCGCCCTCCGCCCACGCCGAGGCTCTCCTGGAGATGGACGCTGCAGTGCGCTCCTGCCTGGAACAGCTGGCCCGCGCTTCCCTCGCCGACGACTCCTGGGCCCAAACGCAGCTGAAACTGAACGAGGGCGGCTTGGGGCTGCGCTCCGCTGAGAAGCACTCGCCGGCGGCCTAGCTGTCCTCGCGCGCCAAGAGCAGCGAGTTCTGCCGGTCCATGTACGCGGGCTACACAGACGACGACGCGGGCGACGCCGGGGCCCTGGCGGCGGCGCTCCAGACCCGCAACGCAAGTGTGGCGGGGGCAGACCAGGCCGCGCGCTTCGACTGCGAGACGCACTCCAACCAGAAGACTCTCTCGGACCAGGTCGACGACGCCGCGCGCGCCGCCCTCTGGGGCCGCTCCTCGGCCGCGACGCGCGCCCACCTCGCCCTGGTGGCCGCGCCCGGCGCCAGCGCGCACCTGCAGGCGCCCCCCAGCGAGGCGCTCGGCACAGCGGTCCCGCACAGCTTGATGCAGATCGGGATCAAGCGACGGCTCCGGGTCCAGCTGATGGACGAGGAAGCATTCTGCCCAGCGTGCGGGGAAGTCATGGGTGTGTGCTGCGACCACGCCTTGACGTGCGCCTGCCAGGGCGACCGCGCGCGCCGCCACAACAAGCTGCGGAACGGCACCTTCTTCGCCGCCCAGGCCGCTGGCTTCTCGGGGACGGAGCTGGAGCGGCCCGGACTGCTGCCGACGCGGGCACCGGGCGAGGGGCCGAACGCCGAGGAGCCCGACGGCGACGGACTAGACAACGACGGCCGCCGGCCAGCGGATGTCTATGTCCCCCGGTGGCGCGGCGGGCTCTCGGCCTTGGACTTCGCGGTGACGTCCGGCCTGCGCGCGGACCTCATCGCGCGCTCCGCCGCCGACCCGGCCGCCGCCCTCGACAGGCACGAGGAGCACAAGCGGCAGCACCAGGGCACGGCGCAGGCTTGCCGCGACGCGGACCTCGCCTTCATCCCAATGGTGGTGGAGGCGCACGGCGGGAGCTGGGGCGGCGAGGCGCGGCGCGCCTTCGCCGTGCTGGCTAAGCGCGCGGCCGACGCGCGCGGCGAGGAGGCCGCCAGCACGGCGGACAGGATGGCCCAGCGACTCTCCATCTCCCTGCACAGGGAGAACGCGCGGGCCATCCTGCAGCGCCTGCAGCGCCCGCGGCCCGGGGCGACCCGGGCACGCCTGGCGGCGGCGGCTGCAGTGGAGGCGGCGGCGGCGGCCGTCGCGTGAGGCGTAAGGGCAGGCGGCGGGCGCCGAGGGCGACGAGGCGAGGGAGGGCGACCAGGAGAAGGAGGGGGAAGAGGGGGAGGAGGAGCAGCAGGATAACAACGACGACGCCATGCGGAGGCAGCAGAAAGGCGCTGAGGAGGCCCCGCGGAGGGCGGCGACCAGGAGGAGGAGGAGGAGGAGGAGGAGGAGGAGGAGGAGGAGGATGAGGATGATGAGATGATGATGATGATGATGATGATGAGATGATGATGATGAGGAGGAGGAGGAGGAGGAGGGAGGAGGAGAGAGGAGGAGGAGGAGGAGGAGGAGGAGGAGGAGGAGGAGGAGGAGGAGGAGGAGGAGGAGCAGCGGCTGGAGAGCGACGACGAGACCACGAGGAGGCAGCAGGGAGGCTGCGGGAGCCCAAAGGAGGCTGTCAGGACGACGGCCAGGAGGCAACGCACGACGAGCGTCGAGGAGGAGGAGGAAGAGGGGGAGGAGGACGAGGACGAGGACGAGCCGGCGGCCGGCGGCAGCAGGCCAGGAGGAGACCGCAGAGGCCCCCTGCCCGTCCAGCCAGGAAGGAGGAGCCCGCCGAGGAGGAGGAGGAGGCGCCGCGCCAGAAGCCGCCGCAGAGGGAGAAGGCCCCGGAGCCGGCCGCTGAGGAGGAGGAGAAGATGGAGCCTGTCAAGAAATTCCTGGAGGACCCGGAGGCGTACGCTGCGGCGAATCCGGTGGCCGCAGCTCCGGCGGCGGGCGGCGGCGGGCGGCGGCAAGAAAAAGGAGGAGAGGAAGGCCGCGGCCGTGGAGGAGGAGGAGGAGGAGGAGGAGGAGGACGTGGTCTTCGACCTTTTCGGCTGAGCGCACGGCGGCGGCACGGGGGTCTGTTTCTCTCAGGACCCGCTTCCCCCATGCTAGTTTTTGCCAAGGAGTGGCACGCCCCTTCCCAGCCCCCGCCCCCTCTGCGATGATGACGTGGCCCATTACCAGTAGTACAACAGTGGGTTGGCAGTTTGCCCAACATTCCCGGATAGCTGCTTGGAGAATTGTCAAACATACTCAAAAACAAGTCCCCCGACTGTGTTTTTTTGTGACTATTTTTGAATACTCCTCCTGTAGAGGGACGGGCCCGATTTAAAGCCAGTGCAGACGCACAAGCATAGGAGCATAGGGGAACGAGCAACGACATACACACAACAGCTCGGAGGTCCGCGCAGACTTCTCGGATCGGCGCCAGGGCCCCCTGGCGGCGCCTCCGGCGCCGCCCCCGGCGCGCTCCGCGCGCCGGGGAGGGGGGTCCAGCGCCGATCCGAGAAACCTGCGCGGACCTCCGAATTGTTATGTGTATGTCGTTGTCCGTTCCCCTAAATCGACGAGCGCGTTCCACTACTCGCAAAGTAACTGCTCGCAAATGGCCTGGATCCCCCGTGGAGGATCTACAATAAATTACATCAAAACGGGCAGGTGTTTCCCGGACGTTTGCGAGTACTCCGGATCTCATAGTAATGGGGGGGTCTACTTTTGGGGGGCGTCTAACGGGCCTCGTCAAACAAGATTGCGGGGGGCGTCTCGATTTTGGACCCTCACTTGCCTCCCATACTTCGGGTTGTCATGCAGATCGTTGGGGGGGGTGTCTACAATTTTTCGACATCTGATGATGACCTTGGGGGGGTCCAGCGTAGTGGAACGCGCTCGGTGGTTAAAGCATCACTCTCGGCGCGGGAGGCTGCTCAGCCCCACCGAGGCCGGTCTTCGCGGGGGCGCGCCCGCTGCGAACACGGCCTGCCAGCCGCCGAAGGGCACTCGGACCCCACCCGGGGAGGCCTGGAGCGCATTATGTTTTTTCTGCTTGATCGCGGCCATGACGGGCGTTATGGGGGGTCAGCGGGGGGGGGGGGCAGGAGAAGGCAGCACGCAGCGCCCCCCCCCCCCCCAGACTTCGGCGCCGGACGCACTGCGGCAATGCCAGGGGAGCACTGAGGGGAGGAGCGTTGCGTTATGGGGGGGGAGGGTGGGGGGGGAGGGTGGGGGGGGGGGGCAGGGTAACTAGGGGGCATTACGCGCGTTATGGCCGAAAGAATAAAAACACTCTCCTGGAGAGACGCCCCCCCTTGAGCAGGGACCGACCGTCCTGGCATTCCTGTAGGCCTACCGCGAAATTTTACTAGATCCCAGACGCGTTCTTGGAACACAAATCGCGTTCTTGCTACATGATCCCGATCTGTTAAAACCCGACGGTCTCGGCCAGACATGCTCTAAGAGCACTCCGTGCAGACCACGAAAGGTCCTTAGAACACTCTTCGCTGGGCCCACAGGCGAGCCAGGGCGCTTCGCCACTGCTTGGACCCCCCCTCCCCCCGCGGGTGGC